AGCCGTGAATAAGGAAATGTTCAAAATGAACACAAGGAGCATTGTTTGCATATCAGAAAAATTAATCTACATAGCCAAGTGTAAGAGCCTGCAATTCAGAAAGCAAAGAATTAGGACAGCCCAGCTGAGAATAATTTTCTAGCCAGTTAATTTAATTGCATAAATCATTCCTTTGTTAGCAATAAAGAGATATAATTAAAATGAGATTGCTTCTCATTTCTATTCTCTGGAAACTAAAGGAATTGATTTTGGGGGAAAGCATTCTTCCAAATACCAGATCGGCAAATTACATTTACCTTTTTAGAAAGGCTAAATTATTTCGCGCTAATATCATGGAGGGTTTAATTAATTATAGATCTGCCATATGATCTTAAAGAAATAATTTACTTAATGCCCACGGAACAGAAGCCAGTAAGCGCGTATCCCTCTGATAGATGGCGTGCAGATTTTTACAAACAGGTCAGGAGTTGAACAGGTGGCTGTCAGGAGGAAGGCGAGGAGATGGAAAACGTGTTGGAAGAGGGGGAGGTGGCTCAGTAAGAGCTGAGGGTTTAAGCACTGCTTCTTATCTGCTCACATATACCTGGCTTAGTGGTTTTTAACCAGTCGTTGTCATCAGATGGGAGCTCTGAGATGTAGCCATCAGCTTAGCACCGAGCTTGCAAGTACCAGCCAGCCACAATAACATCACACTCAAGGCAATAGCAAAGGCTTGTACCAACACCCTGCATCGTGCCCAGCTCCCATGGGTGCTCATTCCCTTTAACTGAGGCTCTGCCAAGGACCAGCTTGATACAAAGTCAGGATGTGCTGATGAACTCTCCAAAGACCCACAGAAACTTTTGAGCAGTGGCACACACTCATTGCTGGGGGAGGATATAGAGAACTGCAGGTAAGCTGAGAAAGGAGAGGGCTTTGCACGCAAGAGTTAAACAGCACATAGATTAGATCTCATCATTTGAGATTTCCAGGAAAAGTATTGCGTTGCTATGGAAACCTCAACATAACCTGGGTTTTCCCTCCTTTTGTTTGCAGGGACTTCATTTCCTACAAACATTGGCCTCTCCCAGTCTCCTCCAGCAGGCCCTGCAACACACAAAAATTATTCTTCCCCATGTCCAGTTTTCTTTGCAAGCCTATCTTCAGTATATTCTGCACCGTCACTGTTGCAAACTGCAAACTCTGCAAGTGTTGTACAATTCGCTACCCAACAGGAGCTCTTAGAAGTCCTTGCTCTACTTCTGCTTTGGGAGCAAGGGAAAAAAGCATAGTGGTAATAGAACTGAGCCTTCCTGGCTACATTCAAGGAGAAACATCTACAACCTCCCTTCTCCCAGCGTGAAGGATGTGAACCTAATGATCATGTTTGAGCATCTGCAAGGACCTGTCCCACTTTAGGCACTGCAGGTGCTACCTCCAAGTTGCAATGACTCTGCCCAGAAGTTTCCCATGTAGAAAATGGGGCCAAACTTAAGTGGCAACATACGATCCCTAGAAATGGACTTAGCATTTGCAGTAGGGTCAGGCAACCACATCAAAGCAAGGAATATAAGGTCAGGTGGATTCTCATCAAGGGAAACACCTGATGAGAAGTCAGCATTTGCTAGCACAGACTTGCAGAGAATTGTGTAAAGGCAGTGAAATCAGTGACAGCTTAGAAGGGCCACTGCAACTTACCTGTCATTCTGTCTCCTTTGAGCTGTCAGCACCTTATGGCAAAGAGCATCTCAGACCATTATAGCTACAGAACACAGAGAGAGTCAACCCTGATTCTGGCTCATGGGCACCACAGAAGCAGAAATGACATAAGGTGGTAAACAAAGCATGGGGAGCCTGATCCAATCCCCCAAATCACACACACACACACGAGCTGAAAACTCAGTCTCTACTTTGCAAGACATTAAAAGTTCTTAAAAAGTAAAAGGGTTTTCCCATTTTAGCTCTAGAAAACAAAGTGGGTATTCAAACAGGGAAGTGACCACTATACACAGGTTTTATTACGTCCTTTCTCCAGACCAGCTCTTCTTTCGGCAACAGAAAGGGCCGATCCTCAGATGCAAGCACCGGTCCTTACCTGCTCAGTGCACCGAGCCGCACAGCTCCCCTCCCGGCGCTGCACACTCAGCCATTCCTCCCCAGCTTCCCCGGCGGAGCGGACAGAGAACGGCGCTCCCTGCGCCGACAGCGCCACCACGTGGCCGAGCGCCGCACTGCAGCCAGAGCCGCTAGGGGAGCCCTGCGGGGTTCTGCCCCAACACCGCCCTCCTCGCTCTGGCCGAAGAGATCTTTTCCAGCAATAGATATACACACATGCTATTCTGAAGTGACAGAATCAGGCTGCCCATCTCACTTGTACTGCTTTTTCTATTTGCAAAGAAAGCAAACTGGTTTCAGTTCTTCAAGAAATTGGAACAAACTCATGTTCTCCCTCTAAATGCATCCAAGGAGACATCTGCCTTCCTCTTCTAATAGCTGATGGCATGCATCAAAGATACTCACAAATAACAGGAGCTTCAAGCAGCCCAAATACATACATGTTCTGGGTATTACTTTCTCTCACAAGCTAAGATGCATATTTCCACCTCCGTGTTCACATACAGCACTCCCTCAGTAGTACAGCAGTATTTCAGCTTGGCTGATCTACTCCATACCCTCTCATCAACTCAACAGGCCACTGGAGAGATCCTTCCTTCCTTCAAATTGTACAGTTTAGCAAACACATCCGTGGTGAAAGTAAAGTATACTTCAATCCAGCATTACAGGAGAGGGCACGTATCCTGATGTACACATTTATAATATCAGCAGGTTTCCTTCTTTCAAGGAGAAGACCTGTAGGAAGCAACAGACTTTTATGGAGAAAGGACAAAGTAGTGTAAGAAAGAAGGGTGAACCAGTGAAGAGAGCTACAGTAACAGTAAAATAAAGACAGCAGCATCACTTAAGTTGAGAACTTTGCTGAGTTGCAACAAACCATTCCTGTCCAGGTGGACACATTCCGCATTCACCACATTCACCAGGTGGGAGACACTGCACATACATTACCAGACTACCAGGCACTCATATGGAGCAAACATGCCTAAGTTACACATTGTTTACAAGGCTGGAAGTCAAGAAAATTCCAATGGTTCGTGTTGTACTTTACACTCAATGTCTGGTGGCAAACATACACGTGCAGTCAGTACTTCTGTACTGGTAATGATTTCACCCTAAAGTAATTCATGTATCAGGGATAGGATGCCTGACAACTTATGTCTGCTTGAAGGATGAGCACAGGGAGCAGAGACAGCACCTCTCCAGAAGGCTGTTACAAGGCTGCTGTTTTAAAGAATTTGTTTCCTTGTTACTTACAAAATAATGTTAATAATTAAATGCATTTGAAACTAGCAAGCAGAAAGTCCATTAGCCTAAGCTGTACAGTGCAACTTTGCTATGAGCTTTATGTAGTATATGAATTATGAATATGAATACGTAGCACAGAATTGTAGTATACCAGTATATGAAGTACTGGAAGCTATGCTAAGGCACGTGGTATACAGGGAGGTGATAGGGGATAACCAGTGAGGCTGCACAAAGAGTAGATGCCCCTCTGCTCCCCACCTGTGAGGCTTCACCTGGAATGCTGCATCCTGATATGGAGTCCTCAGTAGGGGAGAGATGTGGACCAGCTGAAACAAATCCAGAGGAGGGCCAAAAATGACCCAAGGGATGGAACACCTCACTATGAGGACAGGCTGAGAGCTGGGGCTGTTCAACATGGAGTGGAAAAAGCGTCAGGGATACTTGAGAGCAACTTGTCAGTATCTACAGGGGCTGTAAGAAAGATGGGACAGACTCGTTAGCAGGGTCTGCTGTGATGGGACAAGGGGAAACAGTTTCAAACTAAAAGAGGGGAGATTTTGATAGGATATAAGAACAAAGTTTATTACAACAAAGGCAGTGAGGCAGTGGCACAGGATACCCAGAGAGCTGTAGGTGCCATCCCTGCAAACATCAAGGTCAGGCTGGGTGGGCTCTGAGCACTGATGGAGCTGTGGGTGTCACTGCTTGGTGCAGGGCAGTACGACCAGATGGCCTTTAAGAGTCCCTTCCAACTTGAAAGATGACTCTATGACTCTACAACAGTACATATGAAAAATCAAACTATGAATATAAACAGTGTCATGCCAAGCTGAACAGCAGTTACTAATAGCCTACTCCTACAAGCAGGCCATAGGGAAGGCTACATAGGTCTCATTCCACTAAGTCTAACCTGTCCAGTTTCTTCTGCTAGCTTCACAATACATTTGTCTCTTAATTTGCTTGTTTTAAAAGACTAGTATGAAATTAAGGAGTTTTGCAGGTTTGATTTAGGCCTTGGCAGAAGGTTATAGGCATTTAGACAGATGTACTGCTAAAAGAAACAAGCAAAAAAGATTTTTTGAATGTCACTGCCCTCTTGAGGGACATTGAGCTGTAGTGCTTTAACAAAGCCATTCTTCCTGCACTGCTATTCAGGTCACACCAGAACTCCCCCCACTGCCTTGCTGTATTGTTCAAGATGAGTATTAGCTCCTGAAAGGCAACAGGTAGCTTTCACAGCTGGGAATCACTTATCTCTGGACAAAGCATAGCTTTGGTTATGTTTTGCTTATAGATATTTTGGGAACAACTAGACAAGCCCCTCTGAAGCCACAAGAGTCTACTGGAAATACATAAACTTGTCCCTGGAAACCAGTAGTTTTGTTTCTCCATGAATTGCAGCCTTTTATTTTACCCAACAGCTGTTGTCAGAAAACCTCTGAGAGCAGGAACCAGAATCTAGCAGTTACTTTGCCCTGCACATTCCTAATCTCTGGGCTATACAGGCTTACTCACAGCCTGGTAGAGCATGGGTTTTCAACCTTTTGGCTTGCCTGGGCTGCAGTGAGTGAAGAGGATTTGTCTTAGGCTCTGTGTACAACCTTGAATCCTCTCTTCTTCATGAGGGGAAAACTCTAGTAGTACACATTCCTACAAATGTACAGACCAAGTTTTATTTTCCAATTGAACACTTCACCGAGTCAGTTGAGAGAGTGGAGAGGAGAAGAAGCATAACAGAGCAATAGGGTTAAATATTCTTATATCAGCTATTTTAAAAATTGACATTACTTGAAACAATTGAAAAGCATTCTCAAAACACTGTGGCAAACTAAGTGCCATCACAAGTTAAGCTACAGATATTCATATAGTTTGGGGGTTTGTCTGTTTTTTTAAAAGGACTGAGCACCCAAACATGGACTTGAATTAACACGGATGAGGATCCAATACCACCAACAGCAGAAACAAGTTCTAGCATAGAGTTAACACTACTGTGCCTCTGAAGTTATACCCTTAAGGGTTCACCAGTCACCAACATTCATGACCAGGAAAATTGGTATTTACATGGAACTCTATCAGGACTTAATTCTAATTCAGTCACGGTAGAAGAATATCAGCTTTTACTGCCTTATCTTAAACACTACGTCCACTCAGGCTGGTCCAAAGTGCCAGGTCACCCAGGATTAACATTGTCAAGATAGTTTCTTTCTAGAAAAAGTAGAATTTTGTCTCAGTAACAAACAATTTGGTGTTAGCAAGACTTATACACATTATTAGTGCTAAAATCAGGTACTGGCCAAAACCATACAGACAGGCTAAACAGAGCATTTCCTTACCCCCAGCAGCAAGCTAAGAACACCACAATCTGTCTAGAAAATTAAATATGTTCTGTCATGGCTTTTGAGAAAGCTGTTTGTTGCCTGGAATCACTCTTCATCTCACACAAAGAACAAGTTACTGAGTTCAGAAACGAAGATAAACAGAAGAGGAATACAAGTGAAGGCAGCTCTAAGAACTACTTCCAGGACTCTGAACTCTAAGCAGTCCCTTCTGCAGTTCAGCAATTTTATCTTCTCTTGAGGCTGCATAATTCTTTGCTGTCTTTATGAGAGAATCGTGACGCTTCTCCAATCCAGCCTTCAGGTTTTGATATATCTCCTAGGAAGGTAAAATGAAACAAAAAACCACACACAACTCCATCAGAAAAGTTAAACCCTTATAAAGCATAAACCATAAGCGAGAGAGGTCTCATGCAATTTGAAACTTACTGCTTCCTTGGTATACAGAACACAGGAAAGTTACGAAACATCCTAAGACCAAGAGCAGCCACAAGCAAAATCCCAGTATTACCATCTGTTGTATAACTCTGGTGCTCACAACACTAAGGTTGTCAAACAGCAGCACAATATTCACACTGGTGCAGATTAACATAGAACGGAGCAGTATCACCGAGACCTCTGCCCTGCAGAGAAGGACCTGAGGGTCCTGATGGATGAAAAACTTAACATGAGACAGCAGTGCTCTTGCAGCCCAGAAAGCAAATAGTATCCTGGGCTCCATCAAAAGATGGGTGGCCAGCAGGGACAGGGAGGTGATTGTCCCCTCTACTCTGCTCTTGTGAGGCCCCATCTAGAGTACTGCGTCCAGGTCTGGAGCCCCCAGTACAAGAAAGAGGGAGCTGTTGGAGAGGGTCCAGCGGAGGGCCACAAAGATGATCAGGGGACTGGAGCACCTCCCCTACAAAGGCAGGCTGAGGGAGCAGGGCTTGTTCAGCCTTGAGAAAAGGAGGTTGTGGGGTGACCTCACTGCAGCCTTTCAGTACCTAAAGGGAGCCTACAAACAGGAGAGTCAACTCTTTGAAAGAGTAGATAACTGCAAGACAAGGGGAAATGGTTTGAAGTTGAGGGAGGGAAGATTTAGGTTGGATGTCAGGGGGAAGTTCTTCACTATGAGTGGTGAGATGCTGGAACAGCTGCCCAGAGAGGTTGTGGATGCCCCATCCCTGGAGGTGTTCAAGGCCAGGTCGGATGGGGCCCTGGGCAGCCTGGTCTAGTATTAAATGGGGAGGTTGATGGCCCTACCTGTGGCAGGGATGTTGGAGATTCATGATCCTTGAGGTCCCTTCCAACCCTGGCCATTCTGTGATTGTGACCTCTGCCCCTGTGACTACTACAGCTGTCCTCCCAGCACAGACAGTACTTCAGCACAAAACAAATAGAAGATGCTGCTCCAGGCTGACTGCAATCCCTTACTCCTAACCCACCAGGATTACTGTCTTTCTAGAACTGACCTGGACAATCCTCCTCCTGAAACTGCAGGAAGAATGGATTTGCAACATGGCAAATGTTCCTTTATTTGAGGGAGACTGTCAAGAGGTTACAGCATTGCTTGTCACTACAGCATGAAGGTAAGGCCTCAAGGAATAGGTCCCAATGGCCCAACAAAATAAATAAAATCAGATTGCTTAGAGCTGGAAGGGTTGTGATACAGAAATGGACATCACTGAAACTAGCATAGCATCTGCTACAGATACACATGGAATCAAGTTCAGTTTCATCTCTTAAAATACATCATTCCAGAATCATTTCCCAGGTTTGCAAAGCCCATTTCTTACACACACCACATATAGCATGCAGACACATTGCAAACAAATCCTAGCACCACTGCAGAACCATAAGCAAATGCCATGTCTCACTATCCACTCAAACCAACACCTGCTCAGCTTACTTGTTTTTAAGACTGATAAGAATTATTTTGTCTGCACAGACCAAGGTGAATCAATTTCCAGACTATCAGATTTCTTTTAGAAGATAAACAAATAAACCCTACACAACTCACTTTAGCTTTCGTTTCTTCTTTTTCAGCATTCTCATTCAGTTGCTGGATTTTGAACCTCGTCTGCTGGATTTCCTTCTGAATCGCTGTCACTTTATCATATACAGCACCCCTCTTTTCCTGAACTCTGTTAAAATACCTAAAGGAGGGAGAAAAAAAAATTAGCACTGAACTACTCAGTTCAGTACCAATTCCAGATTAAGCTTAAACCCCCCCAAGCCAAACTTGTAATTTAATTGAGAAGTGCAGTTTCTAGAGACAGTACTGCAAAGAGTTTACTTGCTCTGAAAGTACAACTAGGAAATGTGGACGTTTGTCTAATCCTTCATCTAGAAGAGTATAGGTACAAAAAACAGAATTCAAAATTAAGTTACAGGAATCCATTGAAGCCCCTCAGTTGCTGTCAATCAAAACTGCAATTACTCCAATAGAACTGACTCAGCTGAAGCCTGCCGATAGTTGACACTGCATCTTTGAGCCTTTGTAGTACAGCTGTGAGTAGAGAGCCTGGGCAGAAGGCCAACACAGGCCTAGGACCCAATGTAGGAGTCTGAAAGCAACACAGTTGCATTTGGCATAATTGAAAGTCACATTCTCCTCAGCCTCAGGTCTCCATATTCCATCCACCTGTGAACATTACTTCCAAATCCTCCCAAGCCTGCAGGTGAATTTAGCTAGCTCCAGCTGTAAGCTGCTGTGTAATCAGTGTTACTGTGGAAACAGGGGATCTGCAGAAGACACTTAACACTTTATATTGAGTATTTGCACAATAATTACAGTTGGAACTGTAGCAGCTGCTTTCTCTGAAGATTGGGCTGAAATCATTCAAACTTAGTGAAAGCATATTTATATCTTTCTACCTCAAGGGAGCAGTGAGGACACATTTTCTTACCCACCAGTGAAAACTTGTTTTCAAATCAAGGCAACCTCCTTTTCTCTCTTTCTTATCAAAGCATCTAATTTAAATACTCAAGGGAAATATCTAACATTAGAAACAGATAAATTGGCAGCAACATTTAGTACAGAGGAGCATTAGGCTATTATTTTCATTCTTTAATTAAAAGCTACTTTTCCTTCCAATCTCCCTTTAGCTGATACAATGCCCTACATGAAGAGCAGAGGCCTAGAAATCTTGCTGCCTTTCTGCATGATGGTGACAGACTCCACTCTCACAGATGTGGGAAAAAAGCATTTTTCCACCTTATTTAAGCTACCCCAGCCAATAATTTTCCACATCCCTTTTCCTATTAGTGTACAAAAGCGTTATATAACGAGCTTTCTTTAACACAGTGAACATCAGGGAAGCCATAACCTTACAATGCCACACTTTGCTACTGTAGAAGTGACTGCTGTGCTGTAAACACTGCTCTGCAACTTGCCTTTAGCATACAGTAGAAAGAGAGATGGGCTAAGAGGCTTTGATCAAATGACACTTTTCCTTTTGTTTTAGAAGCATCATGTCAGGATAATGCTCCTCTGAGATACGAGCCCCATTTCCCCATGGGTCTTGAACATCTTTGATAATGAGCAAAAGTGGCAAGGGAAATTATGAAAAATTCATGAAAGGCAAATGGGGCTTTGTTGAAGTCTGATAAGTTAGAAAATTATCCCAATGTGACATTCTCTTTAAGAAGATAAAAGAATCAAGAATAAGCATTATAAATTAAATTAGCGATCCAATAAAAGAATTGCTGTCAAGTCACATTGCAATTATTGATTTGAGACCCCAACTCCCTGCCTGCAGCACTACTGGTCTTCATACCAAGCTATCCCACATCACTCATTTTCCTCTTAGTGCTAAGCTACATGTTTGTACCAGGCGTGAACGTTGGTAGCACATAACGAAGACATAAAGCAGCATCAAGCAGAAACATCAACTCATCCTTACTCAAATACAGTGTGCTTATATTGCTCAACATCTTCACGCTTCTTTTTTATCCTTATTTCAGCTGTAGACAGCCTCTCATGTTTTGCAGTGACCAGTCTCTTCAGGGACATTTCATCTGTCTTCCCTTTCTTCAGCTCGATTTGAGCGCTCTCAAGCTGGTCTTCCAGATTTCTGACCTACAGTATGTAAAAAGCATTGAAATAAATCAAAGTGAGGGAAATAATCAGAATGAACCATGTTAGAAGCTCCCTAAGATTAGAACAGTCTTCCTGCTTTTTAAAGATGATAGCTGATCAGCTTTCCTTGCTATATCCCGGTTTATCTAATTAGAAATACATCTGAATGAACAAGTTACTATTTGTATCATTTGTAGAAGTTACTGTGAGTTCTGCTGTAGTTCTTAAGCTATGATTTTATGAACATATCATACAAATAACTTAAACGACCATGCTGGTTTTTTTTCCCTGCATTCTCACAGTTTAGTAGTAACTAGCAAGGTACTTTGTGACCAGCACTTCACCAGAAGTTTAGCTTAGTAACATCAATAAACTAAAACCTTCCTTGAGAGATGAAATCTTGAAGTAACAGTTTATTTGCTCTAATTTCAGTTCTATATGCAGAAGAAAACAGATCTCACTTCCATTTCTCTTCCATCATTTCCTGCAATCAACCTCAAGATAACAATTTTAGGTCAGGTATCTATGGCAACAAAGTTTGTGACTATTAAAAGTGGCCAAAAAGACATCAGTGACACCAGCAAAGCAGCAGCTACGTTTTACTGATGTTTCCATAATGAGTTTTTAGAGTGATCCAAACTCTTTCTTTTGTGAGCAGAAAGTAGAAGAGAGTAGATGTTTACTAATGACTCGACTCAGACTGACATTAAAAGTTTTTCCTTAACCAAATTTAACTTGGGTAATACAAACCTCTGATAATACGCTGGTGAGTCTTTCCACATTTGCTGCCTGTCTTTCCATCTTCTTCTGATATAACTGCACCTCCAATTGGCACGATGGCAGAACTTCAACCAGGTCTCGATAACCTTCGTATTTCTCAATAACCTCTTGCTTTAAAAAAAAAAGTATTAATAGGAGAATTCAGCAGTTACTGTCAACATTGAATCATGTACATTGACTTATGCCCATTTCTTTCTTGTTAGTATTTGGACAACCTGGTCTAGTGGAAGTTGTCTCTGCCCATGGCACAGGAGAGTGTGGAAATAGATGATCTTTAAGTATAAGTTACTCAAAAACTAGTGGAAGTTCAGTAAGAAGCACTTTTAATATCTCCTCATGTGAAGGAAGGGAAAAAGATCTCACCTTGGATTTCTTGAGTTTCTTAACTGTCTCTTTCATTAGTTCCTTATAATTCTTCAATTCCTCTGGACTCTCCACAATTTTTGACTTCAGCTGCTCTTGTTCTTCTTTCAAAGTAGCCAATGTCACTTTAAGTTCATTCTACAAGGACAAAAGAACTTTTGGTCATTTAAGTTGCCAATTGTAAAGAAGAATTGTGAAGCATAGTTTGCATGATCTCACAACCAGACAAATTCTTTTCTCTAAGTCATTCCTTCTTAGGAAGTCCTTTAAAAAAAGTTCCTGTGAACATCAACATTCTCAAAACAATTAACAGTCCACTTTGCTCCCTGAGCACACACAGTGGTACAGCACTGAGTTGTAAGAACAGTACTTAACCCAGTGCTTCACAGAACACCTGTCAGCTAATACACAAGGTAAGCAGCCCTCTCCTTCAGAGAGGGCTCCTAGGACAACTCAGGCAGTCATTGCAGGGTTTTAAAGTCAGCTGCGATGCTCAGGTAAGAGAGCAACACACTCCCTATGAAATGAAAGTGAAGCAGTTCTTGAAAGATAAAAAAACACAACTAATAATCACATGAATATTAACTAGCTCCGAGAATAATTTAACCTTACAAAGATTATCTATTAATTCGATTAAAAAGCTACAGCCTACACAGAGCTATATTTACCAGTTTTCGGGTCCTCTCTGTAATATCTGACTTCTTTTGTGAAATCACTTCTTGTAATGCTGCCTAAGGGAAAAGAAAAAACAAACTGAAATAAAATTGAAATAAACATCTCTACAGCTACTACCTCCTTTGTCCTTCTATTGGACATATACATAAGATCTCACTAATTGTTTCTTTGGAGCACCAAAACTAGAATACAAAATTGCAGTCTAATTGCACTAACAGAAGGCCCTCCAACTACAGAAGTCAAACCCACAGTCAACAGTATTCATGGCAGAAACCTGATTTAAAGTAATATCAAAAAAAAACCTAACCACATTCTTTTTCTCTCTCTCCAACACAGCTGAAGAAGTTACCTAGGAGACCTGAAGGGCAAGTTATCCCATTCTGTGATCAACCCTGCTTCTTTTGTTAGCCATTCCATTGGGTGACCTTTCTAAGGCCTCCTGTCACTGGCTCATCTACAGTTTTCAATCTTAAAACTCAGGAGCAAGAGAAAACAAGAACTTACAGGGAACAACAATATGTGGATCTTCCAAGTCATGGCAATACCATATTTCAAAAAGAAAGAGCCAAATACATTTTTGTGTTCTTTAAATCTGATTTCATGCATGTTTTACATTCCTTACAGGTAATGCTAGAGATTAGACAGGACTTAGTGTTGCAATAACCATTTATGATTTAAATCTGAACACACCCTTCTTTATTCTCTGTACGAGACGAGGAACAAAATAAAAATCAACAGAAATAATGTTGATCAGAAGCCTTGGCACCAGTTCAGAGTAATACACAAAGAACATACTGTTTTCCGACGATAGTCATGGCTTAGAAGTTGCTCCAGTTCTTGAATATCATCTGACAGTTGCTTGAACTCTGCTTGCTGTTCAACTGGAACAGTGCTAAGCAAAAAAAATAAAGACATTGGACAGTTTCAGCATCATCATAATCAGGTGAGAGTACAGCAGATGAAACAGTCTCTTTCTCCAAAGGCTTTACAGCCAGCAACATCATGGATCAGATCAAAACAGCCTCAAATTAATACACCTTATTTCCCTGGGCTTATAAGGCTTTGTAGGCAAAACATTGTCTAAAGAGCTATTTCAGAAATAAGTGATACAGGTTAAAATAGGACCATATATTTAATCATAACATTAAATACAAATGGGCATGAAAGAATACCTCCACCAATTTTGCTTGGAAGTATGAAACCTGCACATTGTTATGTGCCAGAGGAACAGTTCGCATTGAGATAGAACTATAGCTAGCTAGAGAACCTCCTGCCTTGCACATACTGAGAGCAGTTATCAGCAAAGAAGCTTTTGGTTTTGAAAGCAATCGTGGGAACTAGCCATCTTTTTAGTCTATTACCTACAAGCAAAACAAAATGTTGCAAAAGCGTAGGCAGTACAACTAAACTACCTGAAACAGAGAATGGGGCAAATCTGTCAAATAACTGAGGAATGCAACTGAGGAATACACCCACCCATTAAGTTAAAGACTAACTTCCTAGAGCTATATAAGCAATAGAGACAGATCACTAAAAACAAACTATAACATCAAGTTCCTCTTCAGTTCCCCCACTACACAAACCAGAGTATCTTCTCAAAGCAACTACACAGTCCTAAAGCCACACTGTTGTTTCCTGCCAGCAACATTTCTAGCTTAATGGCATCAGAACTACTTCTGTAACCAAATGCAACACAACCAAAACATCTCTACACTTTCTGGTTTATTTCCCAAGGAGGCTAACCAGCAGCAAAGTTAAACAAGCACCAAAGGAGAAATCAAGTCTGCTCAAATTAAAAACTAAAGGAGCAGAACTGGGCATATAAATATTTTTCTCCTTATTATATATAATATATATATATTTTTTTTTCTCCTATATAATACACGTTGGTGCATGTAGTGAGGGCTCAAAATGGAGGAAGGTGATCAGATGAAAGAAAAACAGGCTACAAATTCCACTCCCATTAGCAAAGATTAATCAGTGTCTTGATCTATTGCATCCACACCTATAGCATTCTAGTCTCACTTAAAAAAAAAAAATCACATTACTGAACACAGTCACATCTCCTATAGGCTGAAAGGAAATTTATTTGCATCAGATCAAAAGATCCTGGGACCTTCAGTCCTCGTACTTACTTTAGCTTCTCCAGCTTCATTTCTAACTCCTGATTTGCTGTCTCCAGTTGTTGGTGTTTCTCCATAGCAGATTTCTGCAAGTTAAACATTCAGAACTTTTTGTTTTAGAGGAGTAGTTTCTCTTGAATCCTATGAGACCCCTGTTCATCATTTCACATGACATGCACGATCTCTGAACTACTGAGATATTCAGAGAACTGCAGGTGGTTTCTCTAGCTTCAACCCAACGATCACTACATCTATATTTTCTCCAAACAATTGGAGGTGTCAAACCTTCACTTACAAGGCTGAACTGGAGTAAGTTACTGGAAAAAAAAAAAAACCACTCGGCTGACAGCTTAAGTAGTAACTCAGCCATGGTACCAAGCAGAAACCTTTACGATGTCAACAAGCCCAGCCACTCACTCTTCTGAGCTGACACGTTTCCCCAAGGGCATTGCAAAGTTCTACATGGAGCCATTTACAGTAGTTGTGTTTGTTTGATAAGTAATGTAGCTCTACAAGAATTTTTAGCAAATGGGTACCTGCTTGTATTACTTAGCTATATTTAAGATTCTCACATCACTTTAGGATGCTGTTGAAAAAACACAACCTTTACGTTCCCAATTGTAGGTTAACATTTAAGTTACTTCAGTAAGCATATGGAATAACAGCACCAGACTTACATAGCTCAGCTGCAACTCCAAGTAGGCCTCACGTCGGCATTCTCTGAAGTGTACAAAGTTGAGAATGCCACTCAAGAAGCGAGCTGTCCTCTTTGCCTCTGAAATGAAAGTTACAAACCATCACTACTTCTGTCTCTGCACACATTGTAATTGCTTAGAGAAAACCGGGCAAAGCATAACTTGGAGGAGGGACAGAAATTGCAAGAGAGAATATGCATTAGCTCTTCCCCTGCTCACCTTGCAATGATTTCACAGGCTGCAAGAAAAGCAGCTGAGCTTACAAGGTCTCAGCAATCCTATGCTATTTAACAAATTAAGAAAATGGCACCTAATAGAATAAAATGCAGCCTGACTGGGTTAGCCTACTAAAGGAGTAAGATGGACAACCGCTCATTAGAACCATCTTGTCTAAAGACCACCTTTAAGGTCAGATGAGTAGCTGGTGGGCAGGGACAGATCTCCATAATAGGTGCCCACCTGACTACGTCACACAAAAGAGTCTGGATAACAAGCAATGGCCACCAGCCCAGGAAACACAAGGTTTACAATACATATGCTTACTTGGATTTATAACATCAGAAATTTGAAAATCATTAACCCGGCACACTGGAAGGAAACGCTCCCTGCAAAGAAACAAAACATTATCTTCAGTGATTATTACTCAATTTTTGCACTATATACATAGGCTAAAACCAGATAGTGTCCTCTCATTGCAGAGCACATGCACAGCAAGCACACAGCAACAATAAGCCTCAGGAGAATAACAAAGTAAGATTACCGTGCAGATCAGCATTAAAAACCTGTATTCTTACAGCATTTCTTAGGATTTCTATGAATACTCACCTGCAGAGCAGCTTAAGAGATTCCTTCACTTAACTGAGGGAGTCAATTCTGCCATTAAAACAAAAATGAAGCTACAAGTGTAACGCTCACATCACTTCAACAGATACATCTAAACAAAATTCAGACAAGTACCTAAGACCCTTCTGCTAGGTGTGATAGTGAACTTCATCCCATTAGAGGTATTGGAGTTTTTTGTTGTTTTGCTTTGGTTTTTTAAAATAAAATTATCCTTCAAACAACTCAACTATATCAAGCCTCCTAACACATTCATTTTGCCTGCTTGGAATTAAACTCCATTACCACATTGCTGCCTCCTGTTCACCTGAAGATTTTGTTTTGCTCAGAGACAACAAGTAGTTGAACCAACCACCAGAGGCTCAGAGCCCCACTGCTTCTAGTAATTCCCTATAAACATTCCATTAAAAAAGTGCAATCTTGTACTTACATATGAATATACAGATTACAAACAGGTAGGAAGCCTTCAAATATCTGTGGATACACTATATCAACGTTGACCGGCATCTGAAAAGTAAAGAGAGCCAATACATAATCAGAGTACATTTATGGGAGAAAACACAGGTTTGTTCCTACAGTGTAAGATCATTAAATTAGATGAGGATTGTCTTCCATCTATGGTGGACAAAAGTCCCAGGCAGAAGGATGCTATCAAGTTAGCAGATTATTTTTAGTATCATTTTTGGTTGGCTAAGACAGAAAAAGCCAATAGTAACTAAATATATAAAAATATATATATTTAGTGTGTGCGTATACACACACACACACTGTTTTATAACAGTATATATATATATATATATATAAAACAGTAACTAATATGTATAGATAAAAGAAGAGTATACCACTTGTCATTTTCTAGTTAGGTGATAGAAGGGACAGCATTTCATTGGGAAAGCACAATTCTTTTCTCTTTCCACATCTCCTTACCCCTGCCAGTGCATACATACCATGTAGAAGTGCTCCAGGCGGATCCCATACACCTTCTGCAGAATTCTTATGAAAATCATGTGCAAAACTTCAGGCTGAGGAAGCAAAGGGCACAAATCAGCATTGACGAGGTCACCAAGGCAGTTCTGCCTTTTAAGACGTGAAATTCACCAAGCTAAGGAGGAAAACAAGCTTTGCTTTCCAGCTCCTTGCAGCTCAGGCATTAAGATACAGCTAAAGGAGCAGCAAGCAGCTCTGGTAACGAATACAGCAGTGCCTTAACACGGTGCTTTTTGGTCACAGGGCGCGCAGCGCAGCCCCACAGCGCGCCGTGGGCCCTCACACACCTTGAGGGTGGCGAACAGGTCGGCCTTGGTGAGGTTGCGGGCTTCGGCTCCCACCAGGACGTGGCTGCGGAGATAAGCGACGATATCATCCGGGCTGTAGCGAGGAAAGGTGAGCGCCTCCATCACGGCACCAACCGCCGCTCCGCGCGCCGCTTCAATCTGGCGGGCGCGCCGCGCGCGTCACGCGCCCGCCCCGCGCTGGCCTATCAGCAGCGGCGCTGGCGGGAGGAGGGCGGGACTTCGTCAGGCTCCGCCCCCTGGCGACCGTTAGCCGTTAGGGGGCGGGGCCGGCTGAGGCGCTGAGGGGAGTGCCGGGAAGGGCGGTGGCTGCTCGACTGGGGCTTCGCGCCCGCGGCTGCGTGACAGCTACCGGCCTGCAGCTGGAAGGCGGCTCTGGGAGTTACAACCGCTCGGCAAAGCTGGAAGGAGCGGTGGTTTGAAAACATTGGTCGGCCGGAGAGCTCTCAGAGCGGCGCCGGGCTGTTGACATCGCAGCTGCCAGCGGTGCCGTAGCGAGGCGCTCCGCCGCACTTCTGCGCGCAGAGAGCCGCGAAGCCGGGCTCAGCTTCCAGCCGGGCAGCCTGCCAGCCAGTCAGGTGAGTCGCCGATGTAGAGCACGTCCCAGCGGACACCTGTCTCCTCAGCGTCCTGCCGCAGTCCCCCGGGGGCTGAGCGGTGTGGGAGTGGCGGGCCATGTCTCCCGCAGGTAGATGGCAGCCCTTGAGCCTCGTGTTTCTTTTGGGGATGGGGATGGCATCGGGGAATAGCAGCTGTCCGAGCGGGTGCAGCTGTCGGTACCTGGAGGTGAACTGCACTGGGCGACAGCTGCAGGAGTTCCCCGCAGCCATCCCTCTGGACACGAGGCAGCTGATCCTGGCAGTGAACAACTTCTCGTACCTGCCAGCAGTGGAACTGAGCTTCCTGGTGGATCTGGTGTATTTGGACTGCCGACAGAACCTGCTGGGAGATGACCTGGATTTCACTTTTATCGGTGTGGTCAAGCTCGTCTACCTGGATCTCAGCTTCAACAACCTGACGCAGGTCACCTTCAGCACCTTCTCACAGCTCCTCAGCCTGGTGGTGTTGAAGATCTCGGACAATCCCAACCTTGTAGCAATAGAGAAGGATGCTTTCGCCAACAACACCTGGCTGAGGCACCTGGATGTGAGTCGGACTGGTTTAACGTTCCTAGATGCCAGCACTGTCCAAGTCCTGCCCAACCTGAGGATTCTGGGGCTCTCTGACAACCTGTGGCACTGCAACTGTTCCTTTTTGGACTTCATCACCTGGATGACAGAGAGCAGTGTTCATTTTCCAGGTGAGGGCTGTGTGAACAGGATCCCTCTTCTCTCCATTCTGTTCCTGGGTGGAATGGACAGGGCCCTCTGACCTCTTCTCATTCAGCTCATTGGGGCTGTCCAGCCTGTCAGCTGTGCATCCCATCATCAGGTGTTGCACAAAGCACTGATCGGAGCAGCTGGGCTACACACTCTCCACCCTCAGTCACGCTTGCTCACATCCTCAGGACTGTAGGGGAGGTATAGAACATCTGGTAGCAGACTCAGGAGGTATCACTGTGCCTGCGAGTCACAGCACCCTGCAGCCACGGTGCCAAGAATGAGGAGCTGGCTCAGGGCAGATGTGCTCTGGGAAAGGTATTTCTCTGAATGTCCTGCCTTTTCTCCATCTGCTCTGATCTTTTGTTACTGTTGCAGTGTTGGTGTGTCTGTAGTGGCCAATAACCCCCCTTCATGATCAGTAGAAACACTTGCAGGGCTGGCTTGTTCCTCTCTCTCTTCACCTCCTTGGTACTGCCTCTCCAGCCCTGAGCTCTCCATTGTTGCTCCTGTCCCATTAGCTCAAATACTGCCTGTGTTCAGAGAGAAAAGCCAGCATCTATTATCTCACAGCCTGCACTGGAATTTGACAGGACATAGGCAGTATTTCCATGGAACTGAATCACTCCTGAGTTTCCTCTCTCACAATTGCAGGTGAAACTATGCCTAATTGCAAACTGCTCCAGTTTTCAAACTTGACTCCCTGTGTGCAAGCCTTATCACTCTAGTCTAAAAAGACCTCTTTCCCTTTAGCCTTGTCACTTAAAAAGGTGTCTGAGGCTTTAAAATAATGACAAATGCTCTTATATTGAAACAAAAGTGCTCAATCAGCAGAGATGAACAGTGCAGCTACCGCAGTTTGTCACAGTGCCATCACCCAAACAGAGATATTTTCCTATGGAGGCACCGCCACGGAAATCATTCTGGCAGGCTGGTGGTTGTGGCTTGGCCATAATCTGGCTGATTTCTCCTAGGCTATGAAGGGAGAAGGACATGAAGCATGGAGAAGTTTTCCAGGAGTTTAGCAAACTCCTCCATCACTTTTCTAGCAGTGATTTTTCCTGCTCACTAATGCCTTAGACACAGGCAAAAGAGTTGTTTTGCTTTTTTCCTCTGCAGACGCCGACAACATCACCTGCTACACACCAGAAGCCCTTCGTGCCTTGAAGATGCCTGCAGCAGAGGTACAGCTGTACTCCAGCTGCCAGACCCACCTGCATAAGCACGACTACATCTTTCTGTGTTTCATTGGCTTCTGCATATTCTTTGCTGGCACTGTGGTGGCCTGGCTGGCTGGCATCTGTGCCGTCATCTACCAAATCCACAGTACAAAGGAGGAGGAGGAAGAAGAGGAGAAAGATGCAGTCACTTAGGGTCAGCCCTACAAATCCTTCTGGATGCCGTCCTGGGAATTGAAGGCAGGCTCTTCTGAGTGATTTCCCAAACTTTATACGCAAATTTTTTGAAGTGAAATAAAACCACAAGAGAAGATAGTCTCTGGGCTCCAGTTTTACTCACAGTGCCACCTCTGCATTTCTTCTTCCAGTGAGACTCAGGACTTTGGCAAAATGTTCAGTGTGAGCCACGGGAGGTGTGGACAGTGCCATGCAGCAACCAGCAGCATTTACACTCCTGCTTTCTCACGAGACCACGGAAAAGCAGGGCCAGCATGCAGCCTGTCCTGCCACAGGGACAGGGCCCAGCACCGTGCAGCAGCCAGGGAGCTCACCAGGGCCTTTTTGGCCACACTGGCACAGCCTAGATAGCTCACTTCAGCTGCAGGGAATCTGAGAGCCTCTGCTGTGAAAAGGCAGAACAGAGAGGTTCAGAGCAGGTCTTCTGTGGGCCTGGGATCCCACTGGGTCTTTCTTGCTTCTCCGTTCTACCCGTTACAGCAAAAGACACCACCTGTTCCCGTGTACCTCCACGGGTCTATGAGCATTTACAGAACCAAGTTTTGTGTCGCATAACCCTAAAAGTGGTTTTATTTTGAATGTAAGAAATACCTCTCCCACGGAATCCAAGTGTTCTTGGAGATGGCTTGTGTTTCCGTCCCAAGTCCCAGGGCTGCACGTTCAGGGCAGAACAAAGGGAGGTGTAAATAAGATCCTTCATATCACTAGCACTAGATAATTGCCAGGAGCGGTGTCTGCTTACATGAACAAGTACAGTGGCTCCACGTGTGAAGCACTGGCTTCTCATCCGAAATCAGCTGGATCTGATGGAGGAAAAGGGAAAAGCAGGATTTTAGCAAGCACAGTATAAATTAATACGCTGTCTTACAGCCATTAAACTGTGGCCGGTCTGCCGACCGTGAATCAAAGCTGAAATCCTAGGACCACAGAATAGTTTAGGTTGGAAGAAACCTTAAAGATATCACCCCGTGGGCTGGCTGCTCCCAGCTCAGGCTGCCCAGGGCACATCAATGGCTTGGGGCATCTCCAGCGATGGGCACCCACAGCTCCGACCAGCAGTGCCGGCGCTTTTCATTATTTAGAGTCTGCATGGCAGAGATAGAAGGGACACGCAGCAGACAAAACGGGTCCTTGACCCCACACAAAGCCTCCGCCCGCCCCGCCGTGCTCCCCCAGCCATCCCCCTCCCGCAGCCCGGCGCGGTGTGCTCCGCCTGGGGGCGCGGCCAGACCCAGCCCGGTCCCGCTCCGCCCCGCGGCGTCCCGGGCTGCTCTGCGCCGCAGGCTGTGGTGAGTGCGGGCCGGGCGTGCTGCTGCGGGGCTGGACGGGGCTGCGGGGCGTAGCGGGGCTTCCGGGAGTTCGGTGGGCTGATGTCTGAGCATGGTGAAGTGGGGGAAAAATAGAGCCGGTGCGGGTGAATCACCCTCCCTCCCCCCAGGCGGGACAAAGGGCTCTGCAGGCTGGATTGGAAGGCTGGGCTGGTGGTATGATCGGAACCCAGCGTGGCTCTGCACAAGGAGGCTTCGTTAGCTCTGCTGATTATAACAGTTGTGATTATAGTTGATTACGTATGATTATAGGGTTAAAGTGCCTACAGGAAAGCTGGGGAGGGACTTTTTATAAAGGCAGGAAGAGACAGGATGAGGGAAGATGGCTTTAAACTGGAAGAGGGTAGATTTAGACTAAGTATGAGAAAGAAATTCTTTACTGTGATGGTGGTGAGACACTGGCACAGGTTGCCCAGCGAGGTTGTGAATGCCCCCTCCCTGGAACATTCAAAACCAGGCTGGATGGGGCTGCGAGCAACATAGTCTGGTGGGAGGCGTCCCTGTCTACGGCAGGAGGGGTGAACTAGATGGTCTTAAAGGTTCCTTCCAACCCAAACCATTCTGTGATTCTATATGCAGCAAACTCGGGAAGAATTGTTGCTGGGAGCACTTTTGTAGCCCTCAGTCTGTGCTGTGTCATGCCCCAGCGTCCCTCGGCTGTGTGGGTCCAGCCCGAGACATTGCTGCATGGAAGATAAAAATTGAGGCTTGTGCAGGGCAGCATTACTTGTCAGCAGAGTCCTTGCAGCTGTGGACAAAGGTTGCTGAGCTGCAAAAGCATCAGGAAGCAGCCACAAGGCGTGCAGGCAGGGAACTGAAAGTCATGATGACTTTGATTTGCTTTAGCTCCAGGTTACTAGAGCAAAGGCTTACTGTTTGACTTTAGATCAGTAGCACAAGTAGCAGCTTTATAACATCTGGCTTAATGCTTACTGCAACTGAATGGTGCTTTTTGCTACCAACATAAAAGATAAAATCCCAACTTACAGCTTTATGAAAGACAAAAGGCTTTGTCCTTGCTGCTGAGACCAAGGACAAGGCTGGAATGTGAAGGGGGAAGTAAAACCACTGACCTGTTCTGCCAGGTGGGAATGTCCCACACCTTCTATGTGCCATCTCTAAGGTGCTCGCCTCTATTACATGTGGGTGCAGATGATATTTTTTGATTACTTAAAGCTTTCCAGCATTCTTATTAATAATTCTTTTCCAAACTGCACGTAGACAAAATCAGCAGGTTTCTTCTTGTTCCACCAGCAATAATTTCCTTGCAATTGAGAGGTAAAAACCTTTGCTCCCTGAAGATTGATCCTTTGCGAGGAGCACCAGTGCTGTTGCAATAGGAGGGCTGGCTGCACTGCTTCCTTGTTGAGGTGTGATGTTTTTCCCCCACAATGACAGATTGTGCTGCTGGGACAGTGCCAGGGGCACCAAAGCCTTGCATCACTGAAATAGGCTTTGGTTAGGGTTTAATTTCCAACTTGTCTCTCATTCCCACATCATGCCTGGTCTCCACATTGAATTTATGGCAATTGCTTGTGTTTGCAGCGTCCTTTAGCAGGGAATTACATGGGTCTAATTCCTATTGAATGAAAAAACATCTTTGCTTTATTCTGAATCTCTGCCCTGGCTGCATTTGGTGACCTCTAGTTCCAGTGTTGGAAATGAACCACCAGTTTCTGTCCACCTTCTCTAGCTTTTAGACTTTTTGAATACCAATCTTGTTTGCCTGTTCTCTTTATCTCTGAGATACTTGGCTTGCTGGGTTGTTTCCCACATAGAAGCTGTTGTATATCTTTGAACATCTGACCCATTCCCACTTTTGCTCTAAGCTTTTTAGGGTGGTGGTACAAGAACTCAAGCTGGAGTTAAATGAGGAGTTTACACAGTGACATAATCAGATTTGCTGTCCTGATCTCTAGTCTGACTGTGGAGTCATTTCTGCAAGTGCAAGTCCTGCCTGCATCCTGAGGACAGGATGGGATGAGTTACAGCAGCGCCCACCACCTCTCCTTGATTTCAGGCAGCAGGAGGACTGGGCTGCAGAGAGGGAGGAGCCTTCGGTGTGTTATTGAGGACAGGAGTGCCGTGGAATATGGTCAGACAGCCAGAGCTGATGGGATCTGTAGGGGGTCTCTAAGCTAGAGGCCAGACTTGAGACCTCTGCTACTGCCCACCCGCACTTACTGATTTTAAGGCTTACCTGATGGGACCTAAGCAGGGAACCCTTGGTTTGTGCTTTTTAACACCTTGTAGACACCCAAAGGTAAAAATTCCCTGACAGTTTATCCTTTTCTTCAGCCAGTTCTTATGCTAGGATAGCTCTCTGCAATTGTTAGGCCCAGGCATGTACACACACCCACTTCTGCATGTGTTGAGCTCCAGTCATATCCTGAAATAGTAACAGGCTCTCTTTTTCTCCCAGCACCAAGATGGCTGTTCTCTCCAAAGAATATGGCTACGTAATCCTGACAGGGGCTGCCAGCTTCGTCTTAGTGACGCATCTTGCTGTGAACGTGGGAAAGGCACGCAAGAAGTACAATGTGGAGGTGAGTCCCCTTTTTCAGCCTCAAGCAGAGGGACAACGTGTCTGCAGAGGAGCGCCAGCCAGCCCACTCTATTGCTCCTTCTCTTTTTCCCCTCCCCAACCCAGAAGGGCGTACAGCCCTTGCCTTCCTTAGCTGCACTGCTGTAGATAAGCGTGGTGACACCTTGGTTATTTTTGGATGACCCGCTGACCCCTCCTGCCCCACAGTGTGAGTGTAGGAGGGATGGAGCTGGCATTCTAGCTCTCCAGACTGGAGCAGACACAAGGCAGAAATCAGGGTTTGGCAGATAAGATGCTTGGCACTGAGCCGAGACAGCTGAAATCGCAAGACTTTCAGCTTCGGAAACTATGATGAGCAAGAAACCATACAGCCTTTCTCCCTGCAGAGAAGACAGACGTGATGTTGGGAACAAGGACATCTCAGTGGAACACAAGCATACAGGGAGCAAAGCAGTTTCACAAAAGCAGCTTGGGCATGGAGTCAGGCTCTAACTTGCCCTAGCAAGTCAGTTCTCCAAGCAGTAGCACAGCACTGCGCTCCCTGAGGAGATGCAGCACATGCACCATGCTGCTGGAGGAGGCTGGCTGCACTTGCTTATCTTCTGCTCTTGCCTTTCTTTGGCAGTATCCAACCATGTACAGCACAGATCCTGAGAATGGGAAAATATTCAACTGCATCCAGCGTGCACACCAGAACACGTGAGTACCACGTATGAGTTTGTACTGCCACAGTCTCCTGGGGAGAGGTCTAGGCTCACCCAGCTAAAAGGAGCCAGGCTGCAATGGTACATCAGAGGGGTGCTGGGAGGAACGACTCATTTAGCTGGTGCTAGGCTGTATTTAGCAGTGGGTCGAGGCACAAAGTGGAAAGACTTCAGACAGAGCTGAAGTCTATGGAAGTCTGTGCGTGCTGTACTTCGCTTTGTGCTCAATTTCTGGCCACAGCATGAAGACTAACAAGTCAGGCCCATCAAGTACCCTGGCAGGGGATGTTTGCAACTGCATTCCTAGATATTCTCTTTACAGGCCACTTGAAGACGAGTATAACATTCTTTCTTATTTTCAGACTGGAAGTTTACCCTTCCTTCCTGTTCTTCTTAGCCACTGGTGGAATCTACCACCCGGTAAGTGACTGTGGCATGCAGGTCCACACAACTGAACTTACTCCGTGACTCAGAGCAGGCACAAAGCCAAGCTTACCCAGCTGAAGGCAGCCAGGCTGTTTCCTAACCCCATCTCATTCCACAGCCATGCCTCTTCTGAAAATGCAGTGGAACCACAAGTACTTTCACCACTGATGCTTCAGCCAGTAAGCCTTTTTCCTCCCCATAAGGGTTCCTTGTCAGACAAACTGAAGTATCCACAACCTCCAGTCTGCAAGTGGGGAGTGTCCACACAACCCTGTCTGGTTCTCTTAAGCCTGCAGGACTACTCAGCAGCTGTTTTTGTATAGGGTGGGAACCTTTCACCTCCCTTTAAACGCACACTTTAAAGAAGAGTTTGTCTGATAAGAATAGCTGGGGAACATTTCGATCTTCCCACCCACTTTCACCACCAAAGGAGGCATGTGGAGGATGATATAAAAAAAAGGCCTAGATTGTTTCAAAACGAAAGATGTAGAATACTTTTGAGGAGGCGGGCATGTGGGAGAGACTGAAGCCAGCAGCTTTTTCTTCACCACCGATAGACAAATCAGGTTCTTCTTGAAAGTTTCTTTTCAGAAAGGAAAGGAAGCAGCATTAAGTAAATCTAGCAAACTGATGTCACATTGCATCAAGCTCTAAATGAAGAGGCAATGTGGAAGTCCTCCTGCTGCAGGTGTTGCAAACACATACACCTGCTTGCAGCAACGAAGCATAGCTTGGAAGGCTCTGCAGCACAGCACTGTAGCTGTCATGAAAATGATTCCAGTCCGACTCACTGTGGCTTTCACCATCAGCCACACGCTGACTCCTAGTTGTCCTAGCAGAGTCAGGACCCATGCTGTAGTTTGTGGTCACTCCTTGAAGCAGGGCTGCTCTAACAGCTGACCAGGTGCAAGCAGCAAGTCTCCACAACTTTAATGCTTCTCCTTTCTCTCCAGCGGATTTCCACAGGGCTCGGCATTGCCTGGATCCTTGGCAGACTCCTGTATGCCCACGGATACTACACAGGAGGTGGGTCTTTACCCTAGAACAGAAATTGCTTGGAAACTAAAGCCTCCTCCTATGATCTCTGGGGCTCTTTTCTTCAGTTCCTGCCAAACAGGCAGCATAAAGCTTCCAGTCACAGTGCGGGTCCACAGACTGCTACTTCTGCATTGTGTTTTTCCTGCTGTTAGTAAGAGTACTACTTTAATACCAGACACAGACAGAGGGCAGCTGCACAGCACAAGCTGGTAGCTGCTGTTGTGCCCAGATTCATCTCTAGATCCTGCTCTCTCTTTCAGGATAGGCTAATCTTTGATGATATTTTTGACTATCGCACATACACATTCCCTGCCCAAGGGGAAGGAGCCTAACTGACTCCAAGTATTTTAGGCCACTACTTCCACCGTGACTTGAAACAAACCACACTATGGGGGATGAATCATGTAGTGCATCTGACTTTGTACTCCGCTTGGTTCTGGTCTGTCACATACACAGCAGTGTTCCAGCCTTTCTTTCTGAAGGTCTGCAAAAGCTAACTACACTTGTACTAACTCAGGGTAGTGCTGGGAAGGTGGAAGCAGCCCTGCAGTGCTGGGAGCAGTGTGGGTGAGAAAGCTGGCTACTGCTGTTGAACTGACAAGACGTGTCCTTTTCCAGAGCCAAAAAATCGAAGGAGAGGGGCCCTTGGTTCAGCTGCACTCATTGGGCTGGTGGGCACAGGTGTGTATTCAGCTTTCCAGCACCTTGGTTGGATCTGCCCGGACTAACTGACCATCATCATGGCTGCCTGGGAAACCAGAGGGATTTCTTGCTGTAGAACATTTCATTGCCTGGTTTTTTTCCTCCTCATTCAATAAAATGAAGTTGTCAGTTCTGCACTTTCATTCTCAAGTTACAGAGGGCCATCTAAAGAAATTTGGCAGAAAACCAGCATGACTCTGGTTTTATGAGACTATGGCAACCAGCCTATCAGGCAGGGACGCTCCAGCTTTTCTGACTTCCGTGAATGAAAAGCAATCCTATAAACCATTTGTTTAACCCATCCAGCAACAACCCAGCTCACACTCAAACCCATTTTCTGGACTCTTCACGTCATGTCACTCTCCAGTAGGATGTTCCAAACAGAGTTAGTATTTATTTGATTGCTACAAAAGAAAAGATGTGAGCAAACATTTAAATTTGCTATTTCATCATCATAGAATTACCATGTTTATAAAGGAAGGCCCAGAGAAAGGAAATCAAACAGCTTTTGATTAAGACAGGCAGCAATCTGTCTCATGTTAGAGCTCACTACCGCTCTTGTTACGCTGTGCACTGTGTGGAGACCATCTGCAGCAATGCCTGTCGAGGCAGCATCAGCTCACCATCCCCACAGTATCGTGAGGCACAGATAAAAAACACAGAACTTGTGTTCACAAGTGTGCTAGAGGAAAAAATCCTAACCTGAAGGCTTTTACATAGTCAGAGAAGAGACAGAGCCAAGAGCTACGGGATGTTAATGTGCCTGAGAGCTTTTACATGCACTGAGCAGGGTTATACTTGCTAAGAAGCCTGAACTGGAATTAACTAAGGGCGGAGGACAACAGCGTTCAACGTGCGCTGGGTAAAGTAGCCGGGGCTGGGCCTCTGCCACTACCAAGCCTCTGGTAGCTGCAGGTGCTGCTGCTGAACACTAGGTCACTGTCTCCTGGTCTGAGGTCCCCATCTTCCACTAGAGAGCACAGAGGAGGCCTACAGACCAAACTATGTGTACGTTGCCCCTGCAGGAGCAAGATGGCTAAAAGCTGCTCTCGTTCTGCCCCACTCCCAGGCACTTAAAATTTTAGGGCACTTTACTGCTGTGTAAATGATCCACAATTTTCCTGAGATGGCCTCAGAACCACTAAAACACGGATTCCACATCACCCATCTCCACGCAGACAGTCTTCAGCTGCGAGTAGTACTCGATGGCTGCCCGCCCGTTCTCTCTGCCAAATCCTGCAGGGACAGGGCAGAAGTGAGTGCAACAGGCAGTGCCAAGCACCACTCATAACCAGCACACAGCCATGCCGGGGAGAACACAAGCCACACGCACAGTGCAAGTGCAGCACCACCTCATGGCAGCACTTCTGACCAAGAACTGGGTGAGCTCCGCTGCAAGTAAGGCCGTATATTAAAGCTCACCTCTGTGCTCACTCAGTACAAAGCCATAATCCCTTCCACAGCTTCCCTTTGATTTCCCAGTGTGGTATCGATGCTTTAGAGGCAATTGATGTGCCTGTCTGCCCCAGCAACAGGCTGCTCACATCTGCCGTCACAGACATACAGAAGCTGAGTCCAGGGAAGGGCAAGCATTGCTCACCTGATGACTTGTATCCCCCAAAAGGCAACTCCACGGGGCTGATGTTGTAGTTGTTAATGAAGCACATCCCAGCCTTGAGAGCAGCCACTACCCTGTGAGCCTTCTGGATATCCCTGCAGGAAAACAGCAGCTCAGCTACAGCCCTCCCTTTCACCCCCTTATCCCTGAAACCCCCAGCAGGTTGCAGTGGTTTTTAGAGCCCAGCTTGCCCTACTCAGAGGATACAACACCTAATTCCCAAGGACACTCAGCACAGTACTTCATTTGAGAGGGCAGGACAAGGACACCAGTAAAGCAGACTACGGCAAGCAGCCAAGAGCATCTTTGCACACATTCAGCAGCGTGGCAGGCTCCTGGTGAACATCTCCTGGAGGTGCAGGCAGGCAGGCAGCTGGCCAAGTGCAGGCTGGAAGGAGCCTGAAGGACAGCTGGGCCCACCTAACCTCCTCAGGAAAAACCAGGAGGAGATGCATAGTCATTTAAAAAGTTCCCTTCTGGCATCGTCTTGCTACAGCTTTCCTGGAGGAGGATATCCGTGCCCATGCCAAACACTGTGAGAGGAGCATCAAATTGCTGCAGCATTTCCCAGCTCCTCCCTTCCCTAGACTGCTTCCCAGCTGTACCTGGTGAAGACACCACCTGCCAGGCCAAATTTGGTGTTGTTGGCTCTCTCCACGACCTCCTCCTCTGTGTCAAATGGCAGAATGGACATGACAGGCCCAAAGATCTCTTCCTGCACACATGTCATGTCGTCTCTGCAGTTCCCTGGAAGCATGGCAGCATTCAGAAGGAAAAGTTAGTGGCAAAGCCTGTGCATTCTGCAACCCACAGAGTCTTCAAGACAGCACTCAGCACTACACAGCTGCTGCTCCAGGTTCCACAGCTAGCTCTGGTACACCTGTAGAAGTGCCTGTCCACAGCCATACAGAAAGATGGGTACACAATTTCATCTAGAAGCAACTCAGCAACATCCACACAGAGAATCACAATGCCACTAATAGGAAGGATCGTACCTAACACGCATGGTTGCATGTAGAAGCCATTCTTCAGCTTCGGGTCATCTGGTACATACAGGTCTCCCCCACACAACACCTGAGCACCCTGAAAGAGAGGCAAGCAGAAAGTAGGCAGGCATGTGCATGGCATCCTGCCCAGCTGTTGCAGCTCTGGCTGGCCAATGCTCAGTGCTATATTTACTCTCCCATACAAGAAATCACATTAGGGCCTTCTCTGGTGCCTCTCCAGGCCAGGTATGCTGATGGAGCATCACTAGCAAATCAGGGCTTTCAGTCACACTTCCCCTTTTCCAGCCCATCCCCAGGATGGCTGGCCACACACCAGACTTTACAACAAAGCTGGAGAAAAGGCAAAAAAAAAAAAAAAAAAAAAAAAAGGCTGGGTGGGTCTTGCTGGTCTTACGAAGATTGATTGCTTCCAGCACACTGTGAATTTTGTTTCTGATCCTTAATAAACGTTTTTCCCAACCAACATACCTGGAAACCATGTGAGATAACAGCCAAAGATGTAAGACGTGACCACAACTTATAAAAGCAACCAGCTCAAATGCATGGATTCTCCCATTTTACACAGTGGCAGTATCAGGTGCGAAAAGCACATCTAGTGGTCCTAAACACCTACTGTATAATTGAACCACTCCAAGAAGACAGCTTACAGGAAGGTATAGATAAGAAAGCAGCTACTGGTCTGCTTGTTTGGAAAGAACAGGAGACATTTCAGGGCTGACACCAGGCAGCATTACAATCTCACCTGCTCCTTTGCCTGCTTTATAAAGCGCTGGACACGTTCCAGGTGGGGCCGGTTGATGAGGGCTCCCATCCGTGTGTCTTCCTGAAGTGGGTCTCCAACTTTGATCTTCTGGGTGCGTTTCACCACCTCCTTTGTGAAGGTGTCCAGTATCTTCCTCTCCACAAACACCCGTGTGCCATTGCAGCACACCTGGAATACAGAGCAAGCTGCTCTGAGCTAGACACATAGCACTTTGCAGTCTTTCTGGCATGGGTACTGCTACAGAATCTCAGAAAAGGCCCTTCACAGCTGCTAAAACAGCCAGCTTGGCCTGGGGACAGTGAAGTCCCAGGGACAGCAGACAATTCTGCTACTGACTGCATAGGACAGTCTATTCTGGACATAACTCTACTGATGCCACCAGGTGGCTATAGTGTGTCACCAGCAGATGAGCAGACTGTTCAGTTCCCAAGGATGAAACAGGTACACAGTTTGCCAACAAAACCTGCAGAAAACATGAAGAACCCATGAGCCAGAAAGGTATGGCTCAGCATACTGGACTGGGAGCTGCTCCCTCTCCAGAGGAAACTGCTTCTGAACTCTGTGCTCCAAAGTGGAACCCAGGGCACAGGAATAGCTGCTCTGAGCTGGGTATTGGGTGCCAGAGAGGCTCCACTTCAGGGAAAGATGGGACAGTGGGACAGGTGTCCATGCCCTGCTGGGACACCGTGCATCAGAGGTTCCTTTGCAGCACTGCACAGGGAGATGTGTGGCAAGATAGCAGCTTCAGGGTATCCCTCACTACAGAAGGACACAGGCTGGTTACCTCAAAAGCTCTCAGGCTGCGTCTGCTCTCAAACCACAGCCTTGCCCCATGGATACACACCTCTCCCTGTGTGAGGAAATTGGCCATGAGAGCTCCATTCACAGCGTTCTCCAGGGAACAGTCTGAAAAGATGATAAGGGGGGATTTGCCCCCCAGCTCCAAGGTCACTGGTTTGATCCCTTTAGCTGCCATCTCCATGATCTGATAAGGACAAAGAGACAAGTGATGCACGGCCAACAGGGAGGCTGCACGGAGGGTTCAAGGGGCAACACTTACCCTCTTCTCAAACCTCAATTTATTTGTAAAATATTTTTAGGAATGTTTTATTTGTTTAGACTAAATTGAGGGTGGGAAATTCACAGCAAGCAGGCTACTTCTGAAACCAGCAGGCTGCACACAGTTCAGCTGAACTATCACTGCCAGAAACATTCAGACATTTTCCCAGCTGGTTCACGCAGCCTCCTCCCCACATGGATGCCCACTTAAGCAACTCAGAGCCCTCAAGTGAACGCGTGAAGACAACCAAGGGGCTGCTCTGAAAGTCCGAACTGGGACCCCAGTATAACACTTCATGCTCCTTGCTTGTCCCCAGGCATGCCAACTCACACCATATCCTTACACTCCTCACGCACAACATATCAAGCTCCCCACCACACCAGGAAGGCTGGTGCACAACCCCTCGTGTTCCCCCCAGTTCCCACCTTGACACCAGTGGGCACGCTGCCAGTGAAAGAGATTTTGGCCACATCTGGGTGGTGGCAGAGGAACTGTCCTGTGGCCACTCCACCCTGCACCACATTGAAGAGCCCCTTAGGAGCACCAGCCTCTGTGAAGATCTCTGCCAACTTCAGCACAGAAATGGGTGTAAAAGGAGAGGGCTTGAAGACCATAGCGTTGCCTAAGGGAACCCAGAAAGAAGCAAGGTGGGTTAACACCTGAAGTGCTTTAGGGAAAAAAAGCCAGACAAAAAACCCACTCAAGACAATGAGTTTGTTTCTGCTGATCTCAAAAGATCTCCCCACTGAAAAGAGGAAGAAACATTTTTGGCTGAACTCTCTGCAATCAAAGAATGGAGAGAAATGCATCTCCTGTTGGGAAAGGCTGGGGAGATAAGGATGTTGGTCCTGTACTGCAGACATTTCCAGAGACATTTGTCCCTGGTACACAGCCAAGCCATCAAGTCTCTTTCCTGATGCACTCACTGCCCCCTCAGTATCTGTCAGATTCACATTTTCTGTTCCTTCCTGACTGAAGGTTCTGCAAATCCTTCAGTGCCTCCTTCAAGGCAATCCCAGGGTCTGTAACTCCACCCCCCAAATCACTCTCCCCTACAGAATCCCCTGGCATCAAAGAGAAGCTTGAGTAGGCAGAGGGTCTAAGAGAGATCTGCTTTAGGGTCAATTACCGCATGCCAGGGCTGGGGCAGACTTCCAGCAGGCAATCTGGAAGGGGTAATTCCAGGCTCCAATCCCAACACACACACCCAGGGGCTCCCTGCGAGTGTACCCAAAGGATCCTCCAGGAAGCTGGATGTGTTCACCTGCAAAGAGGACAAACAGATGGAAGTAAGAGAAGAACAAAGCTCCTTCCAGTTCAGTTAGAGCCTCTGAAGACAGATCTCACTTAAACTGGAAACAGACACAGCTTTTACCCCAGCAAGCTCACAGGTGTGTCAGGGCCCACAAAGCACGGCAGCATTAAGTAGAGATCTCTGAAAACACTCCAACATCTTCAGAAAAAGCATCTCTTAGAGAAACCAACACCAAAGGTGGTCTTGTACAGTAGAAGTTAACCAAGGAACACCAGGATAAAAAGTAAAGAGCGAACTCCAATAAAGTTCTCACCGGCCAGAGATCCTGCCAGTCCTGCATAATACTCCAGGCACTGCCAGGATATGTCAATATCCACTCTGGCTTCTAAGATGGATTTCCCATTGTTGATGGTTTCCAAGGTGGCAATTTCATCTCTCCTTTCCTGTGAGGATAACAGCACAATGATTACACATCAGAGAAGCCCACAGTAGCACTCCACAAGGAGCTTCCCATGCTCACAGCTTCCAAATCAGGCTCTGCCTCAAGTAACCATCATCTCTAAAACGTACATTCCCAGCTACCATCAATCAATTTGCCAATGACGACTGATCACAGGTGAATGCCAGACAGCTGCTGGGTTCACTGATCCTGCAGTCTTGCTTAACAGCTCTGCTTATCTAAAAGATTAGCAAACCTGAACGGAGAAGACAGATGGTAAACAATGATTGGAATGCACAGAAATAAGGTGGGGGAAAGAGCACACAGTGAGATCTAGATGGATTCAGAGGACTCAGTGAAGGACAGGTAAAACAAAGCAGCTGGGAAGCGTCCTTTAGCAGACTGCATCCCAGGCAGAAAGAATCCCTGCTGGGGAAGTCTGGCAGAAGCAGAAGTTTGGCCAAAAGAGAAAACAGTTCTCACTGCATACACACTGGGGACAGGATTGGTTTCTTACCAATTCTCAATGGAGACTAATTTTGACATCTAAAAACGTGCTATCTCACAAATGAGTTTGTTATGAAGCCAGAATATCTGTACCCTCTGTTTCTCATGTGTTTATCTGGTGGTTTTTTATTGCTAAAGAAAGACACTTCAGTCACGACAGCACGGTCTGTCAAGCTGAAAGTTCAAGAATGTGTCAGTTACGCAATTTCAGCTTGGAAAACGCATGCCTTGCAATATCTGGACTGGATGGCTTCAGCTTTATGTCTTCTCACAGAGCAAAGCAGGGAAGAAGCTCTAGGACACACCAGCACGATAAGACCGAGCGCCCTGCCCAAAGCATCCCGCTGTCTGCTGGGCAAAGGTAGCTTTCAGCTCCTGCGTTCCATTGGAGCTCTCGAGGGGGACAGAGGGTCAGAGCCAGCTGGGTGGCACGCAGCCCCGCGCAGTACCCGGATGAGCCTGGCAGCCTCCAGCAGCACACGGCAGCGCTCCATGCCCGACGTGCGGCTCCATGTCTGGAAAGCAGCCTTGGCGCTCTGCACGGCCAGGTCCACCTCCTTCTCCCCGGAGCATAGCAGCTTGGTTATCACTCGGCCTGGGCACGTTGTAAACACAAAACAAGAAGTAAATTTCAGCAAAATAGGCTTATCTCGCAGCAAAAGCCCGAGATCTCAGTTTCACCATAGAACTTCACGGCTCCCACCCAAACCCACTCGGTCGTGCCCGGTTTCTGGAGGAGCTCTGCAGCTCGGGGATGAAACCAAAGCCTGCCCTCCTCCACAGCCACATTCCGGCCGCTCATCACCTCCAATCTCTGCAGGTTTCTTCCTGAGCTCGTTACCCTCCCACCACCAGCACCAGACACAGCTGTACCGCTTGTCTTGTGCCGACCCACCCGACTCCCCGAGGCAAACGAACGAGTTAACCCCGAAGAAGTTCGGGCAGCACGTACCCGTGGCCGGCTCGTACACGTCTTCGGTCTGCCCGCCGTCAACGGGTTCCACACGACCGCCCGCCCGGTAGTTGAGGGGCTGTTGCATAGAGAAGGTGCCGGTGGCGGTGCTCATGGCGAGGCAGGGCTGCAGGCGGCAGAGCCGGGGCAGGAGGAACGCCAGCACCATGGGACGGCACCGCGCACCGCCACGCCGGCAGGGGGCTCCACGCCGGCAGGTGGCTCCGCCCCGCGCCTGCGCACTGAACTCCTCTCGCCACGCCTCCCGCACTCGAGCGCCCCCTAGCGGCTCGGAGGAGACACCAGCGCTGATGCGCGCAGCAGCACCGCCTAGCGGTAGCGGCGCGGCTTCGGCTACCCTGCCGTGCAGGGCTGGCAGGTGGTTTGCTTTTTAATTTTTTCCCCCCTTCTATTTGGTGGATTTTTTTCAGAATTCAGTAGTAAGAGCTGCTCCTCTCTGGTTGCCGGGATTAGCGATTCCCACTGCACCGCTGCATCAAACTGCTGACAGCAGGAAGCGACCCAGAGCACAGCAACAAGCCCTGGTTTGCTGATCACTTCCTCAAGAGAGAAGTGCATTGCAAAAGCAGGAGATGTGCTGAGACAGGGTTCTGGGACGCCACCGGGAAGCCCCTGCACAGCACAGCTCTTCACTCCTTACGGTGCCTCACTTGTTCCTACAGGGCTATCACAGCTCCCCACCATGCTGCTGGATCTGACAGCCCGGTGCTACAGTTCAACACCACTGATTCTGGCTCTGCTGTCACACAAGCCAGGAACCCCATAACCACAGCTGCCCTCTTGGCAAGGCAGTACCCACTGTGGATGTAGCAGTGTGTCAGAAAGGCAGCCTTAGAAACAGGCATCCTCCTGCTCCATACTTATCAGTGAGAGTCAATTCAAGTTTTTAATATGGTACAGCATATGCTCCACACCACCATAAGGCATTCTGGATTTCTCCCCTCACGAGAAATTCCAAGTAACACGTCCTTCATTAGAAGCTATGGCTACTGTACACGTCAGGAACACTTTCAGCCTGACTTGAGCACAACAGCAAAATTTATTCATCCTTGTAAAGACAGCCTGACCAACAGGCTGAGCCAGGTAATGATGTGGCAAAGTAGAAAACACTGGGAACTCACTGGGCTAAGGAGGAGGCTGGGGGCTTTCAGATTCATACTGCAAAACAGACTGATGAGCAGCAACCTCAGCGGTATGAATACAAATTCTGCTGCTCTAAGCCCTCAGGCAATAAAAGAGTTCAGTGGACAGCATCGATATAATTCAGCAGTTTACTTGTTAAGTTGAAGGCCAGGTCTGTCTCTGCAATTGAGCAGATTCTGCCTAAGCAAGCAACTTTAACAGAAGTCGTATATTGCCTCTAACCTCTGTAGCACCAAGTGTTGCCAGGAAGACACGGGCAGACAGTACATCCAGCAATACTTGCAGCCTTGAAGAGCAGCCTGAGCCAATTAAAGAAAGAAAAATCTCACCCTCAACACTGGAAATTTGGCAAAATGAAAACTAAGCACACCTACTCGCCCAGCTCCCAGCTACACAGGAGCATAACCAGCACATCTAAAACAAGGGAGACCTCACAGCACAACTTTGCAAGTTTTCTGAGCTATTTTGCAAATCTCATTCTTGATATCTGAGTTTATTTCCATGCCCTAAACTAAATCAACTGTGCTACAAAGCAGTTCTACTTGTCCTATAGCACAATTAACAGACATCTAAATCAACATGCCCGAGCCATTTATTTTTCAGAAACAAAAGGTCAAGTTATCTTCTGAGAACTTTCTTGATTTGATGAACAGGCAACTGCTGTTGGAATACTTCAAACGCAAGATGTTTCCAAGACTGGTAAATACTGCATAGGCTGGTTTTGGCCACAGGAAGCCTGGTGTAGAAACCCGTTGTTTTACTCCCGAAGGCAGTCTTGTGCGGCTGGCAGACCTGCAGCAGAGGCTGTAATTGTGCTTTAGGAGAACTTCCCTGCCTGAGGTGGGGGGCCAAGGAAGCCCCCTGCTTGCTTGGTGGCAGCCCGGGAAGGAGCAAGGCCGAGCATCTTCTGGATGTTCTGCAAAAAGAAGAACAGAAGGGCACATCAGCACCAGGCCACAACAAGGCAGACACTAAAGAGGAAGAAATGCCAGCTCTGCTTACAGGTACAACCTTCTCATCAGCTTCAACAGATTCACGTTGTCACCCACAGAGTCTTACACAGAATGGAAGTCTGCTCCTATACATGAGCAAGAAGGCAAACAGCCATTCTGAAAGGCTACACTTAGCACTGGTCTCCTTCTTCTACCTCAATTAAAGTTTCGTGACTAAACCTGTATTTTGACAGAGGGCTCTTTTCTACCTCCAGCTACACAGCCAGCAGATGCACCATGAATGATTTGGATTACAGATTGGTTTTATCAGTCTAAAATAGTTGCAATCTAGCTACAGTGGACACAGAAGCAGGGGGTAACATCAGCTTGCAGGCAGAAGGAAGGCAGATCTGTTTGCACAAGTTCCACAACATGCTTCTCAGGTACCACCAGCACCTGCAAACCAGTGAAGAAGGCTCTTGCACAGAGTCTGGATTTGGGTCAGCAATGTGGCAACAAAAGCATGTCCAAATTCAAGCCAGACACTTAAGCACAGAATTAATATGCATGCCAGCAATGCAGACAAGAACAGAGGACTGGAGGAGCCTCACTGTAACAAGCACATGTAGCAAAACCAAGAAAATGACTACTGAAATTACTTCCTCTCCTTTTTTATTTGCGTTTGAGCAAGGTGTTTTAGTAGAAAGCAATAAGAAAAGCACTAATTATCAGAGTCAGGCACTAGCTACACACCTCACAACAAAATATTTTAGTAGTTCAATGCTTTTCTGCCTTTTTTGTGACACGCTGCAACACTGCAACTACAGAGTTACCAGTTCTACTGGTTTCATCCTTTGCTCTCTAACTACAGCTCAAGATGCTGCTTATGCAGTGCTGACAAAACAGGGATATCTGGTGCAAGGGAAAGAAGAAGAAAACTGGCTTGCTGCTGTTATCAGCTGAGCCTGGCTATCCAAACAACAAAAGGAGGAAGAAGGGCTCTCTTCAAACCTGAGTGTCTTCTCCAAAGTAACTGTCAGGACAGGTCAGATAGCAGGGCCACTGAGTTCTTCCATGATCAAAAATGTTAAGAAGGACACGAACTAAAGAAAGACTGAGCTGCTTAATTTCAGAGTAGCTCAAAGGGGTCATATGGGGTGAAGAAAGGAATGTTTGGAAAGGCAGGTTTCAGCTGGCACATGTGAACGTGAAAGTGAAGACAGTTCAGCCATCTGTGTGGTTTCCTATGAATATCTTCAACAGCACCTAAGACAGTTAAGCCCAAGGCCTACATAAATTAGACACTGGCATACTAAGCAAGCAACTTTAACAGAAGTCATATTGCCTCAAACCTCTGTAGCACCAAGTGTTGCCAGGAAGACACAGGCAGACAGTACATCCAGCAATACTTGCAGTGCAGGTTGATATTCAGTAACAGTATATATAAAGGAGAGCAGTTCACTGTGGGAAACTCCTTTGTGTGATTCACCTTCCCAGAGCTTTCAGTCAAGAGATGGACAGAGGGAGTGAAGCAAGAGCAGCTAACAGACAGATTCAGTAACACCAGAGGGTGTTGCAGAGTCAGAAGCAGGAAAGACCCAGATCCAGTCAGCTCTGTAGTAGCTCATGTGTGGAACAGAATGAGATCCTAGCATCAGTGGGATCAACTGCCTGCCTCTCTCATTCCCACCCTCCTCTTAGTATCAGGACAGAGAGAACTTGTGGTGCCAAAATTACTCCATCTGCTTGAATAGTTCTGAGGAGGACAGACAACTTGTCTGTACATGCATTCAAGTACACAGTCACCCTGCAGGATTATCCTTCCACAGGAGACTCATTTGTGCTTCTGCATTAGCTGCAAAGTGAGATCTCTGGACAGAAGTCCTGATGTCTACACAGCTGGGAACACCAGGGCTGGGGCAAGGTCCAGCAGAAGTCTGTTCTGACTGCTATGCACCACGTTGCACAAGGAAGCCCGCAGAGTCTGCTTTCAACACAGACAAAGCCAGCACCTTCAGGAGCACGACAGGAAGAAGATAAATCATAAGGATCCAACTTTTTCATCCGAGCTCTGATGAATGCTCTTCAGATAAAAGCAGGTGTAGCTCTCATTCTTCTCGCAGTCATCTTCAAACCCAGAAGGGGCCTCAAACACATCAGCGCGTGGCTGGGAAGATGAGGCCATGTGGGAAAGTGCACTTGGGGCAGTAAGGATAATTGTTGGCTCCCACTCCCTCTGGGAATGCATTTCAGAGAGAAGAGGCCTCATTTATGGATCAAGCATGTGTGAAAAGGAAGTGAAGACCAGCACACGCCTGAGGAAGAGCAGCACAACCTCCTTCACACATAGCGCAGGTGAAGGCCAGGAGTTCAGAAACAGGAGTGGGGCCAGAGGATGTAACCCTGACACTGTGCCTCACACCCAGTCCGGCAGCAGACTTTCCCAGCTGAAACCCAACAGCTCAAGGACCCTTGAAACGCCTCTCCCAGCAACCCTCTTCTCTCCAAACAGGAAGGCAGGAGGAACTAGGGGACAGGATTTACGTGCCAGGGAGAGCTGGGAACAGCGCAAAGGAAGTTACTCACCGCAAGTAAACTATTTTGGGAGATGCTGGCCAGGTCACAGGCTGCAAGCTTCCCAGTCAGTGTCTGAAGAGCTTATCACCCCCACATGCCTGAGAACCACATGAATAGCCTGCCTGTTGCTGCTCATCCCATTCATGGGAGTTTAATCAACGGCCACTTAGCCTCCCCACCCTCACACACTCCCCTGCATTTCCCTCAGGATCTCTGGTCTTTCACATACACAGAAGTTCCTCTCACTGGAGCTCCACCAGGATGGCTGCCTTCACTATCTCAATTCCTTGCAGTCAGTTGTAGGATTTAGGAGAAGGTTGAGGGACATATAGTTCCCTTATGCTTTTTTGCAGCCTGATCCTTTGTACAATGGTGATCCTCCTTGCATTGGTGGCATTAAATCAAACATCATTTCTCCTCCCTTAGGCCAACAGCTGTTTAGAAGGCAGCCCAGTGAAATTTTCCCTTTTGCACACAGTGAAACAACAACAGGTCACGAAGCTTTCACCTCTATAGTCACAGCACCAGAAACAAATCTTTGGCACCATTATGAGCGTCCTTAATTGCTTTCTTCCCCTCTCCCTTGGCCTCTCACAGCCAAAGTCCTCTTCCTCATGCTGTTATCATCTAAGTACCTCCAAATAGTAATAAAACCAATCACAGGCTGCCAGGAATTGCAGCTTTAGTTCCTAGCTTTTGCAGAAAGTAACACAGCTGGTCTCTGCCCATCCCTCCGTATAGCAAGGAAGAAGAAACTTGGAGCTGCCAATGAAGAATTGCAGGTACAGTTAATCACAATCATGTAGATAACAGCAGTACGAAGGCTGCAATCTAATGTTTCAAGCAAAAACACCTACTTTGAAAGCAACAAGGTAACTTCCATCCTTGCTGGACCATGAGCACAAAGTCTCCCACACGATTCACTATCAGAATTTCTCTTGAAAACCCACTTCCACTGCGGTTTGACATTTCTCCCCAGAATCACAGTGGTCAACTGCTCAGTTTACGATGTCTACTCATTTCATAACAGGCAACAGCAGGAAATGCCCAGGACTAAAACAAATCACACAAATTCTATTCTTGGACAAAAAAAGTCCATAGGGGATTTTTCTGCAAGACAGCTCCCCAATCAACTCAATAGGTACAAAAAAATTCTTAGAGATGCTGTCTTCAGTTCCACATAATAGTCTGCAGTGTTGGAAAGAAGGGACTTTTCAACATTAAAAGGTAACAGAAGAGCACCACAGAAGATTGCCCAAAGGAACAGCATCAGACCACAGAGATGATTCAAAGTGCTCAAAAGGTCTAACTTCTTTCCAAGCAATATACACTGTTTGAATTACTGGGAAGTTAAATAAGATTTGTCTTGCAGAAAACACGAGGAAACTCCTGGCCTTTGGTACTTGGACTTGGAAGCTGGCCCCGCTCTGAGGTGGGGCAAGGGGTGAAGAGTGAACCCAGTGACTTCCAAATGACCCTCTCAACATCCAATTACCTTACAATTCATTATTTGCTCTTACACGAGACCAGGCACAGATCCATTTCAACACACACCCAATATGGAGGCAATACTGAATTTAATTTGTTTGTGATTAAAGGAACTTTACCCAGATGCTTCACCGAGCTCATTCAAACTTCTGACAGCAGTGGCACTTGTCACTGCCCTCTGCCTACCTCTTGAATCTATATCTCTTGACACCCCCTGAGGAAAAGCAACAAGCTGGCCAAGGAGAAAAGCAGCAAGAATTCAGGAAGCAAGTCAAAGAAAAAGGAAACAAGTACAAAAGAGCTGATTATTTGCAGCTACTTGCATCAGCATTCATCTAAATTCCAGAATTTATTGATTTATCCCCAGGACACTGAAAAAAAGTGGCAAAGACCTCTAGTGGCACCAAGGAGGTCCACTTTGTGATCCTCACCAGCCATTCTGTCTGTTAAGGAGGATTAATCTTCATCTCATCACAATGCTGCTGCTGAACAACAAGCCAGTCGCCTAGCTGGTTAACAGAGCCTGGTCCTGAACATATA